TGCAACAAAATCGGAAATGCAGCATATTAGGGCCAGGTCCACAATTTAACATTCAATTATACACTATGACACCTGTTTTATTCTTTATTTTTAAACAAAGTAGCCACTAAAATTTAAGCGGTTCTGTACTGAGAGACACTTGTTTAGCATAGATTTAGTCGATATCCCCAGAAAGTGACCTTTCCCAACTAGGACAGTTGCATTAAGCAATGCAAAGCAGCAGTTAAAGCACTTCGTAAATGAAACATTGAAGTGGCAAGAAAAATAAAATCCAGGGGCGACATGAATAAATCAAAGTGAATTCTAAAAAGAGAAACATGTCAGTAGCACGATGTTAAAGGACCACTATAGTGCCAGGAAAACATACTCGTTTTCCTGGCACAATAGTGCCCTGAGGGGACCCCCTCCCGCCCGGCTCTGGGGAGAGGAAAGGGGTTAAACTTACCTTTTCTCCAGCACCGGGCAGGGAGCTCTCCGCCTCCGATCCTCCCATTCGGCTGAATGCGCACACGCGGCAAAAGCTGCGCACGCATTCAGCCGGTCTCATAGGAAAGCATTCATAATGCTTTCCTATGGACGCTTGCGTGTTCTCACTGATTTTCAATGAGACAGCCGCTAGAGGATTTGGAGGATGGATTAACCCATTTATAAATATAGTTTCTCTGAAACTGCTATGTTTATAAAAAAAAAAATGGGTTAATCCTAGAGAGACCTGGCACCCAGACTACTTCATTAAGCTGAAATGGTCTGGGTGCCTAGAGTGGTCCTTTATAGTCTTCGTAATATCGTGCATTCCTAACAATACAGTGCTGGAGTGGCTGTTTATGGGCCCAACCAAACCTCAAATTAGAGAAAAGGGCAAGTAAAAAAACTCCCCTTTTCACTGCAAAAGCTGCACTGGTCTTGCCACAAATGGCCCGCCTACATAGCTGTGATCAGTGTCTATGGGGATCCTTTAGGATCTTCATGAAGACACTGAACGTAGGTACCGAGAAGAAGCACCTCTAGCGCAGGGCTTGACAAATCCCACTAGAAATGTCGCCCTGGCGCCTGTGATTTGCCAGTTCTGTAGTTAGTGAGCTTTGACGGCTGCCGTCATGGGGAATATTGGAGGCCGTCAGAGTGTGCGTGAGTGTGTAAGTGTGTGCGTGTGAGAGAGCCCGTCAGAGTGTGCGTGTGAGAGAGCCCGTCAGAGTGTGCGTGTGAGAGAGCCCGTCAGAGTGTGCGTCAGTGTGTGCGTGTGCGAGAGAGCCCGTCAGTGTGGGCGAGAGAGCCCGTCAGTGTGGGCGAGAGAGCCCGTCAGTGTGGGCGAGAGAGCCCGTCAGTGTGGGCGAGAGAGCCCGTCAGTGTGCGCGAGAGAGCCCGTCAGTGTGCGCGAGAGAGCCCGTCAGTGTGCGCGAGAGAGCCCGTCAGTGTGCGCGAGAGAGCCCGTCAGTGTGCGCGAGAGAGACAGTCAGTGTGCGCGAGAGAGACAGTCAGAGTGCGCGAGAGAGACAGTCAGAGTGCGCGAGAGAGACAGTCAGAGTGCGCGTGTGCGAGAGAGAGAGACAGTCAGAGTGTGCGTGTGCGAGAGAGACAGTCAGAGTGTGCGTGTGCGAGAGAGACAGTCAGAGTGTGCGTGTGCGAGAGAGACAGTCAGAGTGTGCGTGTGCGAGAGAGACAGTCAGAGTGTGCGTGTGCGAGAGAGACAGTCAGAGTGTGTGTCTGTGTGTGCGCCTGTCAAGAGAGTGTGCAAGCCTGTGGTCATCGTAAGAGTGTGAGTGTGTCAGATTGTGTGCTGTCGGAGTGAGCGAGTCTGTCAGAGTGTCTATATGTATGTGTGTGAGAGCGAGAGCCTGTTAAGAGTGTGAGCGCCTGTCTGAGTTTGAGTGTGCAAGCCTGTCGTCAGCATGAGTATGCGCGCTTAGGTACCTGCCCCCTCCGATTGCATGAGGAGGTGTTGACTCACGCCGTGCCAGTTTCACCAAGGCTGAGATGATCGATCTTTATGATCTCAGCTAAGCCAATGCTTTCCCTTAGGAGGATTTTGTGCATGCGCAGCAAAAAAATAAAAAATAAAATAAAAATAAAAAGTACCAATCCGCATCGACTCAGAGATGCATTACATTAAAGGACCACTATAGCGCCAGGAAAACATACTCGTTTTCCTGGCACTATAGTGCCCTGAGGGTGCCCCCACCCGGCTCTGGAAGGGGGAAAGGGGTAAAAACGTACCTTTTTCCAGCGCTGGGCGTAGAGCTCTCCTCCTCTCCGTTCCGCCCCGTCGGCTGAATGCGCACGCGCGGCAAGAGCTGCGTGCGCATTCAGCCAGTCGCATAGGAAAGCATTCATAATGCTTTCCTATGGACGCTGGCGTGCTCTCACTGAAAATCACAGTGAGAGGCACGCAAGCGCCTCTAGTGGCTGTCAATGAGACAGCCACTAGAGGATTAGGGGGAAGGCTTAACCCATTAATAAACATAGCAGTTTCTCTGAAACTGCTATGTTTATTAAAAAAAAAAAAAAATGGGTTAACCCTAGAAGGACCTGGCACCCAGACCACTTCATTAAGCTGAAGCGGTCTGGGTGCCTAGAGTGGTCCTTTAATCAATCTCTATGAGGAACATTCAGCGCCTCCATGCAAAGCTTGGAGACACTGAACCTGGGTGCTGCACATGGTGCAGCAGTGACCCAAGACTCTAGTGGCCGCCTGAGTAACTGTCACTAGAGTTGTTAGTAAGCAGCAACGTAAACTCTGCCTTTTTTTGCGTAAAAGGCAGTGTTTACACTGAAACGCCTGCAGGGACACGCTATAGACACCAGAACTACATCAAGCTGTAATTGTTCTGGTGACTAGTGTACCTTTAAGAATTGCACTCTCTCGTTGAAAAATGACTGGCTCCTAACTTTTTAAGCAGGCTCCTATATTCCAAACAAATCTGTCAAGCCCTGCTCTAGCGGCCGTCTGACTGTCACTAGGCGGCTTACTAGACAGCAATGTAAACACTGCCTTTTCTCTGACGTCAGCCATTTTAGGTAAGCTGCAAGTGCAGCTGAGCCTGGTTAACTGCACCAGCCAATGAGTGACAAAACCAAATACCCAAAACAAAGGTCAGCAGTTTTTAGTTTACTGCTAAAGCTTTTAAAGGGTGATTTTATGCAAAGCAACCTGCACGTATATGAAGGAAAGCATTATTTTAAATTGAATCACCTAGAATCGAACAGAATAGATACGATAGCTAGCTTGAATAGATAGATTGAATACAGAATATTTATAGCTGACACCATTCCATCCATGACAGAGGTCTTGCATAGCATATTCGAGTCAAAGCGTTGTGAACTAGCCTTCAGGACTCTCTCTGTGGTTTTAGAATCACTGAGACAAGATTGAACAAGCTGAGAAAGGGACGTCAAAGGCAATTTTGGCTTATAAGTATGAGCTACACCACAAATCAACCAAACAGGTTATAATTTGTAAATAGTGCTGAGATATAGATATATATTAAAAAAATAAAATAGAAGGCTTTCCTAACTGTTACTTTTTTAGATGTTCTATATTATTGTTTGTGGTTTTATAGAAAATCTGATGTCCGTTACAATTCATTAATAAAAACATTTGAAAGAACATTTATAGCAATTCTAGAGAGTCTTTTGCATATATCACCAATATTGCATTAGGCTACTTGTCCATTTTTATATCCTACATTAGGGCTTCCCAAACCTTTATGGGCAGAGACCCACTTTTCAAAACGGTAATTTTTCGAGACCCACTTGCTTTTAGTGCATATTTTAAAAAAAAGTGACCACCATGGCAATTAGCTTTAGAGGCATACAATTGGCACACCACAGCAATCCGCTTTAGATGCATACAATTGACACACCATGACAATTACTTTTAGAGGCATAAAATTAGCAAATCATGGCAATCGTTTTTAGAGGCATACAATTGGAACTTCATGGCAGCTTTAAATACATAAACCAGGCACAAAATGGCACTCAGCTTTAGATGCATAATCTTGGCATATAATGGCAATCACTTTTAGATGCATAAACTTGGCGTCAAAAGCATACAATTGCCACATCATGGCAATCAGTTTTAGAGGCATACAACTGCTTA